TATGCTAATCAAGGAACTACCAGAACAGCAAAACAAAACCCCCACCCCCACCAGCACTGGCAAGGCAGGCCACAGTATATAAATAGAGAGCAACCCCCATCCCGTATTAGCACTGAGGATGTTACCTAGCCAGGTAATGAAACATTTGCAAGAAAAGAACCAAGCTCAGAGAACCCCAAGGACTCCACAACCACTGTTAGAGTTCATTGATAGTTATCAAATGATCATAGTCATTGTTAGAATTGCATAGCGTAGTATAGAGTTGAAAAGCTGCTTAGGCTTCAAGTTCAATTCCATGCAGCTCTGACAAATTATGATGATATTGATTCATAGGATATAAATCCTTCTTTTCCTGCCTTTTGTTTGAATATATCCAGTGAAAGGAAACCTACTAACTTTACTGTAAAACCAATATTATTGTTAGGAAGTTTTTCCTGACAGTCAATGGAATCCACCCCCGTCCTTTACTGTGCATCCCCATACATTGTGACAGTAGGAAACAGATACCATACACGCAGTACACCCTTTGAATTCCAGGTGGAATTAGAAATATAAATTAATTTGGTTGAAATCACATTAAATTAGTTGGGGAATGATTCTTCATACCTTTTAATGCCTTGAGTATCCAAGTATTGGAATAAGTGAGGTTCCAAATAAGTCACATCAGGTTTTGAAAGCTATCCATTGTTTTAAAGAAAGGGAGACAATATTTCTTATAAGTTATTTGACTCTGTTGATTCACACATTTTTTAATACGGAAGAGAAATTAGCTCACTTACATGGCTTTCCTTAGTTCATGTTAGTTGTATGTAACTATATACAGCTCTACTATATAGACTAACCACACTGTCAATTATATTTCATACATAAATTATCTATAGCAAGAAATTAGAATACAGCAAAGAACATGGGTCTCTGATACCTATCTTTTCCCAAATGACCATTTATCAGTTGTCATATTATTGTTAAATAGATTATTTAAACATAGTAAATCATAGACACCAAACAGTCAATATTTCTAAAATTTAGAAACCCACATATTTAATGAGAACCCAAACTTACCCTTTCCTGTAGTAAATCAAAACAAAGCTTGTTCTCGCTTGTCCCAAAATTCAAAATGCCCTGAGAATAAAAGTGACAAATTCAACCACAATCACCAGTAACATTTTCTATTTCCATAAGGCAAAGTTTTAAAGTTTAATAAACTCTTCCCTTCAGAAAAGTTAGCCTACTAAACCAAAGAGCAATATAAAAATAATTTGAAAATGTTAAATGTTGCCCGCCATAGGTGACAAGAAACAACCAGTTATCTGCTCCTCAAAGACAGCTAGCATTATTTACTTTGCGCATTTTAAAAACTGTTCATTTCATTTTTCCTTCCTCTTCCCTACAAGGATCTTGCACAGACAAAGCTGTCTTATGCACAGGCACAGTAAGTATGTTCCAGTCCTAGACAACTGCTTTGCTGATTAAGAAGGGTAGCAACATGGATGTCAGACTGAGGGTTAATTTGGGCCACTGGAGCTAACTAGACTGAACCAGACTGGCATCCTACTTAGTAGAGCTGAGCTGAAACAAAGCAGCTGCTACCACTTCTCTCTTCTTGAATTTCTGGTTTGTTATAGTGGCTTTCCCTAGCCTGGTGTCTTTTAGATAATCTTATCATATCCAAGCTGGCTGAAAAGGACAGGAATGGAAATCCCACAAGTTTAGGAGGCACCAGTTTGGGAAAAGCTATAGTATGCTATGGATTTAATAAATGCATATTTTACTACTGAAAGGTGTTGCAAATCTCTTATTCTGGTAATTTGGGAGTAAAATAACTGCCTTATTTCTCCACCTTTAGGGAGATCATGCTTAGGTCTCATATCCCACATTTCCCGGTGTTCCTCCTAACTTTACTCACATCATCTTGTATACCTGAAACACCATTTCACTGCCTCCCCATTCCCCAATAATTTATTTCTTATGGACATCTTTGCTCCCCAAACACTTCAATCCCTTCCTCTTCCCTTTGATTCACCTCATTTACGTGAAATCCTTACCAGAATAAATGCTTAATTCTAGCATTTCTACTATTGGCACACAACCCCTTTCCACACATTCTCTTGTTCCCCCCTCCTCCCCCATACCTCCAACAAAGCAGTCGACTTACATAGCCTGCCGCTCACTCTTCCATTTTCCCATTCCGTTACAAAAACATTAGGGTTGGATTCACACAGCTGGGTAAGTCCTAGCCTCCCTTGCTGGTTTCCTTAAAAATGTAATACATAGCCGGCTGGGGCCCTTCCGACAAGCTAAGCCATAAGCCAGAGTCTGAAGCCTATCTACCATTTTATTTCCACAGACACTTTATTCAGAGAAGAGAGAGGCCCACTTAAAGATCATCCACCCGCAAAGACGACCTTTATTGCTGCTCCTCCCGCCCAACTGGCTATGATGCGACGCAATTATCCCTGGAGACACTGCAAACCAACGCGAGCGGGTCGAAATGCCACAGTCACCTGAGGGTTTTGGTCCGCGTCAAAAGGGTCGTCGAGGTATCTGTCGAAGCCTTTGTCCAGGAGCCCCACGGCGCCACCGGCGATGCGGGCTCCGCGAGCAGAAAGTTCCCCCTGAGCAGGCGCTTCGCCGCCGCCAGCGCTCGCCAGGCCTCCGCTGAAGTCGGTCATCGCGTTGTCCCAGGAACTCTGCCGGGTTGCAGCACCAGCAGCTGCTTCACTGCCCTATCAATCGTGCGGCGGGGGAAGGCGAGGCAGGCAGCTCCCCGGCTGGCTTTCAGCTCAGGAAAAAGGAATGTGAAGACAGAGGAAGGACGGAGACGGCAACGCGGCATAAAGGGAGGAACGACTCCCGCCTCAGGAGACACCGGCAGCGGTGACGGCGCGCCTCAGGCTGACGCCTTTTTGAACTGCCGAGCCCGCTCCTTCCCGCTCAGAGGGCCTGGCCTGCGATTAGCCCGCCCCTCGCCTCCGCGGCTTTGCTTGGCGAGGGGGATTCGACTCACGGGCTTGTCCGTCCTGCGAAAGCGCGACGCGACAGGTTCTCCTGCCGCTTGGCTTTTCTGTTGCAACGAGGGGAAAAAAGAAATCCACCCGCCCAGACGATCTCCTTCCTAATCATAAAGCACCGCCACCACCATCGTCACCACAAACAAAATGACTTCTTCGCGGAAACCAGGCGCTCTTCAAATGTGTCGATCCACGTTGCAAAGCTTGAGTCACGTTTCGAGCATCTGATCGCTGGATTTTGTGGTATTTATTATTCTCAGATGTGGCCTGTTCTCGAAGTGGCAGGAAAGGACAAATGCACATCATTTATACATTTACTTTATACGGGAGTTCAAGATGACGTGATTAGGTACATTTTAAAGTGTTTCTAAATTCTTCATTTAAATTATTTAAGAACTGCCAGTAGTACAAGAATGTCTAGAAGAAGTGGGAAAGGTAATTAAACAGGCAGCAGAATACACCCGGAATCCCAATCTGCACCTGTACGTTTGAGAAGGAGGTAATAGCTGAGTCAAGAACAAATACCATTGATTGCAATATAATTAATTCTATTATACAATTAATGGATAAGTAGAGGATTGCATCCTTGCTTTATTTTTTTTCCAGAAAAATAGATATTTTTCTATTTTTTAATACTGTATTTTATATTTTTAATTTTTTTCAGAAAAAAAATAGACACTTGTGGACAATGCAGTGACATATCCTCCAATCAATATGTTCAATAACTGTATTTTAAGCAATTGGAACGAGCAAGGAAACCTAGCAGAATAACACTGAGGGAACTACTAGTCTCTGCTCCTGAATTTTATTAATAGCATATTAGATTGCAGCTACCCTTAGAAAAAAAAGGGTTAATAGGAAATTTAAACATACTGAATACAGCATTCATGCAATTATACTACATTATGAGACTTCATCAATGCTGTATGTTTTATGTTTTTCATACTACTGTATCAGCATATCAAAATAAAGTTAATTATGTTATGGTATGATATGATATGATACAGTATGATGTATGTGTGTATGTGTGTGTGAACAAACCAAAACAGCATTATCTCCTGTTTTTATCATTATTAGAAACATTCCAGGAAATAATTGACAGTTCTGAACATACCATGAGCAGCTTTGTTGAATTACTAGGGTCTATCAATAGAATTATGTCTGCTCACATGGATTTTCTAAAGTTCAAGAAACCGTCATCCTTTCCAGTTTGAGCTAGCTGATTTGTTTTGGGAAATTTGCCAAGCTGAACGTTGCTATGTGTAAACAGACATCTATCTTGCATGATAGACATTCATTAGTTGCATAACAAACTAGGAAAGGTAATTCCCACAGGAGTGGGAAAAGTATATACAGCCTTCTGTCCCTGAAAGATACTGGGTTAGGAAGTATAAGAAAATCCCTGATAGGCATGAAATTAGGGAAAGCTGTACAATAAAATAAGACTTGCATTTATTATTTGCAGTGAGGAATACTTTACAGCCAGAAGTATTTTTCAAGACTTGCTTTTATCTGCAACTGATATCCCAAGATATCTGGAGGATGCCAGGATACAAAAAAGTGGTCTATAGTTTGGATTAGAGATTTTAATATAATCTGATCAGAGTAGTAGGTTGATCTGAAATCTAAAATCCTTTAAGAAGTACTCAAGTGGGGTACAAGGACTCCACCTTTATTGAACCTTCCTATGGGTACCCTGCCAGTAAGGCAGTTGCAACCTAACCAGCAAATCAGCTAAATATCTAGCAACCTGGTGTCATTGAAAATATCTGAACCAACTATAACCTTAAAACCATAAGACTATCACTTGGTAAGCTTGAGAATGTGTATGTAGTTACTATGATTTTTGTTTTTAGAAATCTTTATTACATAATTTAAACCGCTGTTGACACAACTGCCAACCATGAATGCAGTACATGTGGTTGTAACAATTAGGTTATATCATTGAATTCTTGATATTAATCAGAATTATTTTTCAATGACTGATTATAACAAAGGCAATTCTATAAATTTGAACATCTGCTTGTTTCCATAAACTAATGTTTGAGCAAAATTAATGGATAGCAATGGAAAGGTTATTCACGGTTGGTTGGATAGGTCAACTGAGAACAGCACAGATCAGTGAAAGGACAAGATATCTTAGCATGTCAGCATCTACTGACTGAAATAAATACCGAGAAACTGAATTTAGGCTTTGTCCTATCACATGAGCAGTGTGCGAGATACAGGAATTTAGTAATGGAATGCTGACCTGGTGCTTACTTCAGATACAGATGCTGTTGGGCAGAAATAATTGGCTCCATGCTTGAAATAAGACACTGACTCAAATTTACATCCTGTGGAGGTACAGTGTCACAAGTAACACTGATACCACTAGCATCCTTTGAAAGATTTGTCTGAAAGCTAAATATAGCTTGTTCACATTTTGGTGAAGATTTATGAAATGAAAACCTAAACAGTTTTAAAAACTTTATTAACAATTAAGAATTAACAATACTGCGGAGTGTATATAGAAGCAAAATACATTTAACTTTAATTATATTATCTAGAAACCTGGAACAGGGTAGTAGAAATCACTATGCATTGTTTTAACCAGGTGAAACCAGGTAAAAATCATCTTATATATTATTGTAATTTACTTTTTTGGGGTCAACTTTTTCATATAGAAATATTTAAATCCTTTCCTGTTTTCCAGGGTCTTGCTACCTGTCTGGCTATAACCAGTAATAAAACGATTAACTCTTTATGTTTGAAGGTGTCTTTTAGATTGTATTAAAAAAAAAAAAACTTTGTAAGGCCAACTTAGGAGATAATACAATTGCCAGGGTTGTGATCTGTCCTATTTTAATAAAATTTCTATCCAAAAAAGACTGAACAAGTTTATAATACCACCACATAGAATATGCACTTTACGTATTCTGTAACACATGGAGCTTACCCCAGAATTTTTGTTATATTTTAAGCATAATTTGCATTAATGCAAAATAGGTACAAAATAATTCCTCTGAAACCTTTTAATTTTAAAATTAATGTCATTTATAGGCATTGTTAAAAGCTATATTATTCTTTTCATGTGTTTATTTTTATAAATTATTGCCCAAGTATATATTTGATACATAGTGAATCCCACCTATGATTGAACCTTGTCAATATTTCTTGACATTCATGCTGTTAACAATGAAATATATGAGAAGATGCAGTTTATATTTAAAATATGCTCTGTCAAATTCATAAAAGTAATCTTAGGAAACATAATACCTAAAAATACTATTTTCAATTAACATGGCTTTAAAATACCATGTTTAACACCTATCTCTTGAGATGGAAATATTGAAATACATACATGTAAGATACTTGGTTCAGTTAGAAAAGGAGAGCAGTGCATACAGTCTTTGGTCCCTTAAAAGTGAGACTGAAATGACTCACCTTCCACATTAGCTGTTTACCATAGAACCATAATATATGAGCTGGAAGGATCTTAGAGGCTCTCTGGCCCAATCCCCCCTTGGTGCAGAAATCTGCTAAGCCATCCCCGACAGATGGCCATCCAGCTCTTATTTCGTGACCTCCTGCAAGAGAATCCATCAGTTCTAAGCAGAGAGTTCCTTTCCATGCCTAATGGTTCTTATCCTCAGGAAATTTCTCTTAACATTTAGCCTAAATCCTCTTCCACTTAATTTCAATTCATTGATCCTTGTCCTCTACTTGGTTTCACCAGGTAACAGGTCTGCTTTCTCTTGCACACAATAGCCTTTTAGATAGATCATTATATCTCCCTTTTGTTGTCTCTTTTACAAATTAAACATGCCCAGCTCTTATAACCTTGTACAGCTTGGTTTCCAGGGACTTTATTATTCCAGTAGCTGTCATCTGAACCCACTCCAGCTTCTCCCTATCCCTTTTAAAGTATAATGTCAAGAACTATACACCAGTGTGGCGTAACTAGCATATCAATAGAAGAGAATATATGTAGTTCAGGGTTGAACTGTGGAGTCCTTGCTGCTCTTTGAGCTTGGTTGTTTGCTTGCAGACATTTCATTACTAGACTAGGTAACATCATGAGTGCTAGTGAGTGTGGGGTTTGCTCCCTGTTTATATACAGTAGCTTCCCCTGCCAGTGTTGGTGGGGGTGTGGTTTTCTCCTTGGTAGTTCCTTGATTAGGATATTGTTTTCTGCTTGATAGTTTGTCTGGTGTTAATCCCTGCTTATCTGGGTGTTGGTTGCTGAAGAGGAAGTGTTCTGATCTTTTTGTTTCCTTCTTAGCTTTTTTATTGTCTCTTTTGTAGCACACACCAACTAGGAGTCAGAAGACACAATGAGAACTCCTTAATCTTACAATGCATGGGCAGATCAACCATAGTTTCAACTGGGAAACTGTGAGCATCCTAGACCAAGCTAAATCCAAAAACAT